GGGGCTCGCCCTGCATTCCCGACCCGCCCTGCCAAACCACAGTTGGCAGCTCCGCCTTGGTCTGGGACTCGGCCTTAGAGCATCTGGGCTTGGAGGCACTTGGCCCCACTTTTGGCCTCTTTATGTTGAGGAAAACTGGTTAGAGGAGCGTAGGGCCAAGCCCCACGATGTTGGGACAATTGTCCTCGCTGGCCCTCCACCTGTGTGGCCACAGCCCGTGGCTACTGCGTCCTTGAGGGCCTCACAGGATCAGTCTGACACCTGGAAGCAGACTCACCAGCTTCGGTGCTGGCTGACGCTGCAGAGAAAAGAGTGAAACAAAAATTGAGCACAGCAGGGAGTGGCGGCTGCAGGGGCTGAGCTCCCACCCCTGCCTGCCTTGCCCCTGAGCCCGCGGTGCCTGAACCAGGATACAGACAGTGGCCAGCTGTCCCGCTGCCTACACTCTGGTCTCCGATGTCTGTGACTCCTGCACCGCCCCCATGGTCCACCCAAATCCCTGTTTTCAAAAGCACCCCGTTACTCCTCGATCCCCGTTCAAACTCCCTAATTAATGATCCGGATTGGATTTCCCTGAACGAAAGCCTAGAAACAACCTCAACCCAAGTCCCCTGGAAAGAATAGAGATTAAAAGTCTTAGAGAGGAACCCTAGGATGTCACCGTGGAAGAGACAGACCTTAGGGACCGTCTGTCTGGTCCCTACTCTTCAACTTGCAGGTAGGGAAACGGAGGAGGAGGCATCGCAGCCCCTTCACCTCCTGATGGGCCCGAATCGGCCGGCGTCCTCCCTGTCTCTAGCCTGCGAACGGTTTGTTCTATGAGCCAAGTCTAGGGCTGCCTGTTGACGCGAGGAGGGTCCCGTCCGGGGCTGGTCCCAGGGCGTCCTGTGTGTCTCCCTCAGCGGCAACTGACTTACCCAGAAGCAGCAGGACGGCGGGCGGCAGCAGCTGCCACATGCTGGCCGTGAGAGCGAGTGCCCGCTTGGCGCTGACAGTGACCTCGCTGGCTTGAGAGAGGAAGTCAGCAGCCTCCCCCTGCACCCCACTACTCAGCGGGTTCCTTTTTCTGGGAGCATCATTGACTCCTGATCGCAATTTGGACAAGAGAGCCCAGGGTGGGGGCTGGGAGCAGAGCCTGGGGGAGAAGCTGGTGGGCGTGTCCCTTTGCTCCACGTGGGTCAGTGCTGAGACCAGGTGACAGTCCGTGGGGCACCCTCAGCAATCTCAGCGCATTAGCCCCACCCAGCGGGGCCAGGGCCACCCAGCGCCAAGAAGGGGGTAGCTGGACCCGGGGACAAGACTGGGAAGAGGGAGGGTTCTCCCCGAGGGTCTCTATCTCCATCTCAGCCCTTCTCCCTCCTGTCCGCTGCCTACGCACAGAGAGCAGGCATTTCAATCTTCAGACCTGACAAGTGTCCCTCACCCCATATTAACTCCATCGACATTTTCTTTCAAATTAAAAATGCCCATGCCCTGGGTGGTGACCCACAGGGGCTCCTAACTTTCGGTGTGAATTTGACCACAGGTTCCCATGGTCTGTGAAAAGAACCCCTGGCCGTGGGGGAACTGGGCGTGGAGTTACTTTAACAGCCCAGGCGAGAGCAGGGCTGTCGGTCAGGGACGTGGCCTGCGCTGGAGGCGTGGAAGCAGGTGGGGTGGGCAGGACGTGGGTGAGCAATGGGCCGGGAGGGGTGGCAGAGGGGTCTGGGCGAGGCTCAGCTTGGATGCGGGTGATCAGGAGGATGGCGTCCGTTTCATGGACTTGGAGACGGGGAGGAGGAGCAGGCTGGGTGGGGAGAGTGATGGGGTGCAGGTGGTGGTGGTGATTTCAGGCGAGATGTCAGGCAGGCAGGGGACACGTGGCCCTGGAGCTCAGAGGACAGGTCTGGACAAAGGGCAGACAAGTGGATGTTTTAAACTTGATAAAAGCTTTAGGTCCTCTCCTAAGAACAAAGGAAAATGTACCCCCTTTTCCCTGTAAGTCAAGGGGCTCCCTGTGAGGCCCGCCAAGGCTCTAGGTCAGGGTAACCATGGATGAGAATCTGACTAGAGAGCATCAGAAAAGGGGAACCAGTGACAGAAACTTGGCCCTCGAGGCGGGCACCAGGGAGAGTTGCTGACAGAGCAGATCGGGAGGAGGGGCTACGAGAAAAACAAAGGGGGAGCCCAGAGGCCCCCTCTTCGGGGAGGGAAGTCACAGTGCGAAGGGCTGCAGCACAGCCCAGCGCGGCCCTGGGAGGCTCGGAGGGTATTCGCTGAGCAATTCCAGGGGCCGGGGTGGGAGACAGAAGCCTGAGAAGTGTTGGTTGAAGCCCGAGTGGAAACAAGAGTGTCCTAGTGAACGACTAGTCCTTTAAGCATCTCGGTGACCGGGAGCCCCCCTTTCTTACCAGCATCTCGTTCTCTCTGGGGGAGCCCTGACCTTGAGTAGCCTAATAGGAAGTGGTTATTGCTTCCACTACAGAAACCCAAGGGGCCACACGCCCCTATTCCCACCTCGAGCCAGTGTGATGGGCTAAACTGTGTTTTCCCCAAATTTACACGTTGAAGCCCTAACCCTCAGTAGCTCAGCATGTGACTGCATTTGGAGATGGGGCATTTCAGGGGGTTGTTACGCTAAAATGAGGACATTAAGGTGGACCCTCATCCGATAAGACTGGTGTCCACAGGAAGACATCAGGACAGACATGCCCAGGGCCGACATGTGAGGACACGGAGAAGACAACAGTCTCTACGCAGGAGGGAGGCCTCAGGGGAAACCAGCCCTGACAACAGCTGGACCTCACGCTTCCAGCCCCCAGAACTGTGAGGAAATAAAGGTCTGTTGTCTCAACTACGTCACCTGTGGTGCTTTGTTATGGCAGCCAAAGAGCAGCCACATGACCCACGCGTGGCCGTGTGTCTCCGCTGGGACGGCGGGTCTCAGTGGTCACAGCAGTGGGTTGGCTGGCCTGCCTCCAGTTCCCACCCAGTCAATCCCTTTTCTTCTTAATATGTCAGATTCTGAAACCGCTGCTACAATCAGAGCCTGAGGGACACGCGGGAAACCTCCTAGACTAGAGGGAGATTTTATTTTGTTTTACGTGAGAGGCTTGGACTTGCCCACAGGTCACTGTGACCACTGCACTGCCAGCTGGACAGTCATGGGGGCCACCCAGCTTCCAGGGTTGGAGACATAGGTCTCATCTCTCTCTTTAAAAAAAAATTTTTTTTTCTGATTTCAGAGAGGAAGGGAGAGAGAGGTAGAAACATCAATGATGAGAGAGTCATTGATTGCCTGCCTCCTGCACGCCCACACTAGGGATGGAGCCTGCAAGACCTGGAATTGAACTGTGACCTCCTGGTTCATAGGTCAACACTAAACCACCGAGCCATGAGCCACGTCAGCCAGGCAAGAAATGTAGGTCTTTTCACAGATCATGGGAATCTGTGATCAAATTCACACCGAAAGTTTTAAGTAAATATTCTACTTGTTCATTTTAATAGCAAAATATAGTAACCTCTAAACTACAAATTGCAAAAGAGATCAAAATCATTTAATGAAAACGTTTACTGTTGCGTCTGCAGTAAAAAGAGGAGAAGAGCTAGGAAGGGTCCTGCCGAGTAAAAAAGGGGGAGGGGGAGGCTGAGAGGGAGCCCTGGAGACTGAACGGGGCTAGAAGACCCAGAAGAACCAAGGGAACCGAGGGAGACAAGGGTCCCGGGAGAGAGGGCCTACAGCAAGGCCCGCGGAGCCAGCGCCAGCCCAGGGGTGTGGGAGCCCAGGCAGATGGATGTCAGGGAAGTGACGGTGGGGACGATGAGAGTGAACCCCCAAACCAGGAAGAGATGGATGGAGGCAAAGGGGCGGAACCAGAGGAAATGGAAGTAGCTTGTGCGTGACCTTAAGCCCCAGCCTGTTTATTTTTGTGGTCATCACACTAACACGCCTGTTGCCATAGGAGAGATTTCCAGAAATGTGGTGCTGCCTGCGAGCTGGCTCCAAGCCCCCCCCCCGCTCAGCC